CCTTTCCTGACTGTCAGTGATGCAGCCGATCTGGTGGTACAAGGCAAAGGGAAGTTCGAGAGCTAATGGTGTGCTCCCATGAAATTGCTGCTAGCACAGCCCAGCTTGTGGCTGCATCCAAGGTAGGACCTGTATAGGACTCCCTGGGACACTGTGAGGCCTGGCTAGGGTAGAGATACTTGGACTCTGAAGCTGGATTCAAGAACAGATGATTTCTCCAGGGTCCAGGAGGGTTGGGTCCCAAATTAAAATTCTGACTCTCAAGGGTCCCCCTACCCCTCCCTCTCAAAGCCTTTCATCTGTCAGCAAGGAGCCCTTCCACCCAGCTCACCACACATGCTCCTCTTGGCTCTCCTCACCTTTGTTACAAGTGGCTTTTGAGGATCCCAACTGTGCCGACCTCTGATAAGCAATCACAGCGTTCCAGGAGCACTCAAATAAGGAATGAGTCAGAGCAGTCAGATGCTTGCCCGGCGTGGCCCAGAGCTTCCTCAGTCAATGTCTGCCTCTCCTCAAGACTCCAAATTTGAACCATTGCCCCAGCTAATCCTAATGCAAAGCTTGTCACCAGTATCCTTCTGTGAGTTCTATAGTACCCCGGGGAGTGTTCTTTAATCATCCTTATTTATTACTATCCCAAATTGATTTTCACAAATGGAGCATTTCATTAAAATCCCTGAAAGCTTGAGTTTGAGATCACCAAGCAAATAAGCCAGAAAGCACCTTTTATATTAAAGATATGCCAGGAGTTGACCCCACAGGCAATGATTTTTGAGAAGTTGGTTGGTAACCGCAGTGGATCAGATATATTTGTCAAGAACCATCAATCCAACTTTTGACCACCGCTCTATGTTATGTGAACCTAAATATGCTTGGTTCTGGCAGGTGAAAGCTGGTAAGGACAGCCCAAACCTGGCCCAGCTGCAGCAAGCCTCTCGCGGGGTGAACCAGGCCACCGCCGCGGTCGTGGCCTCAACCATTTCTGGCAAATCGCAGATTGAGGAAACAGGTAGCCTTTCAGAAGCAATACTTTTTTTATCCATCCGATATAGCTGTTCTTACAGTCTTCTCCATGAGCCCAATTTCTCACAGTTCTGTTTCTAAATTCTCTCTTACTTTTCATCTTTTACATAAGTACTTATTTTCTCATAAGAAGGGTCACCACATGAGCGTGCTGTTTACTTCACTCTAGTGACACACCTTTAGGTAGATTTTCCATTTAGTCATTTCTCTGAATTCAAAGAAATGCCTCTACAGGCCTGGTTGTCTGGGGGGTGGAGGAGTGCGAGTTCTGATTCTGGTTACCCTGTCACTGTCTCCATCCCTTACAATGTGCACACGTGTGTTGATAAATGGCAAACCAAACATTTCAGCAGAACATTGGCATTGGCCACCTCCCAGGCGAGAGTCAGCCAGGGCTACTATTTGACAAGAACTTCTCATTTCCACCCTTGCAGACAACATGGACTTCTCAGGCATGACGCTGACCCAGATCAAACGCCAGGAGATGGATTCCCAGGTAGGAACTCCATTTCTAAGGTTAGCCGGTCTCTATTGCATATGATGTCAACCCCAAATATTCCCATGATGCGAAGCCAGTGAGTGAGAGACTTGGGAGGAAATGAACTCAGATGTACCATTCAGCCCAAGAGTTAATGTAAGTGATGCTGAAAGAAACAGTGGACGTCTCCAGCACCTACAACCGGGCCTGGGTTATATCATGGGTGCTCAGCAAATATCTCTTGAATTAATAAATAAAATAACTAAAATTAATGAGGCTTAAGAGCCAAAGCCAACCTCTCTTTTAGTGAGATTGTGCCTGTACAATAATAACTCTAAGTTGTACCAACCCCTCCAAGATGCCAGAACTATCACAATTGGTTCCTGCCTGAACTTCCCAGGAACCGGGATTGAAGGGTTATGACTAGATTGGAACACAATACCAGACATTAGAGTTGTCAGACATTAGAGTTGTTTTTAGATAGCGATTTATCAGAGGAACTTAAGTAAGTCCTACTCCCATTCAGGCATTTGGACTATAAAGCACCACACATTTCTAGTAGAGGGTCCCGGGGAGAAGATAGATGGAATAGATGGATGAATGAGAGGGTGGGGAAATTAGAACAGAGACAAGGTTGGAATTGAGAACTGGGTAAGCTATCGAATAATACGGAAGAAAACTGGAAGATGGAGAAGAGGGATTAAGTCAAAATAAGACAATTCTCAGATCACTGCTCAAAAGAAAATTCCACTTTCCCCACAGGTTAGGGTGCTAGAGCTAGAAAATGAACTGCAGAAGGAGCGTCAAAAACTGGGGGAGCTTCGAAAAAAGCACTACGAGCTTGCTGGTGTTGCTGAGGGCTGGGAAGAAGGTAAGCCTCTTGGGGGACCGGCACTAGCCTGCAGTGAAGGGGGTGCTGTGTGGTGAGGGCTTTCCCCTCGACTATAACAGAATGAGGAGCCCAGTGGTCAGTGACTTCCTCCTTCTCTGTACCCACAGAGCATGTTTTCAGTTGGAAACAATCTAAAAGCCCGAATTGTGAACTGAAAGCTTTTGTTGTCACCTTTCAAGACCTTAACGTTGACCGGTAGAGTGGTCACTCACCACCATTTCCTTCCAGGCCCCGTTAGCCTGGTTTACCCCCCAGGAGTCTAGTCTCTGGCCAGCCTAGAGTTGAATAGTGAATGAATGAATAGTGATCAGTGAAGATCCAGCATAGAGGGCAAGTGAATTACCAGGTTCTGACTGTCTAGAGCCAGTGATGGGCAGCAAAGGCCAAAAGATAGGAAGGGTCAGGAGCTAGAAATAGCGTGGACTGAATACTGTTCGGCCACCAGCCCAGACACTTCGTTGCTCAGACTCTGTGAGTGCTGCTTTTCCGCATGTCCAAGGTGGCCACTTGTTCACCACCAAGCTTGCCGATTCTTGTCAGACTTGGCTGGCTGTAGTATATCCCAGTCATTCCTGGACCCTTCACTTAGGGACGAGGTGGTTATGATGACAATGTATTTTAGAGCCCAACATGGTGGCAGTTTTGGCTAACAATAGGTGCATGAAGGGCTGTGAAACATGAATGGCTGTTACTGTCTTTTAGAAACAGAAGCATCTCCACCTGCACTGCAAGAAGTGGTAACCGAGAAGGAATAGAGCCGCACTGATGCCCCACACGTCACAGTGTAAATCTTTGTTGCCTGTTTATGTGTGTATGTTATTCCCCAGCCACAGGCTAAAC